ATTGAGCTCCTCCGCGTGAGCCAAAGATACGGGAGTTGCAGTTATTGGGTCCTGGAGTCGTAAGTAGTTCATTCTCTGTGGAAGCTGCACTGGTCGACTGTTTAATCGCTGAGTCGCTTCCCATCCTGCGACTACCTCACGCAACACGTCGCAAAAGCCGGAGGCACTCATATAGCACCCGTTGTTGTAAGCCTTGGCTTTTGCAAGCTATAGAGCTATGTGTTCTTAACACAAGTATCTTAAGAGATTCTCCTGCTAAATCTGTTTCAGTTCTTCTCAACTTTGCCGTTGAGCTAATCTCGGGAGGAACCTATCAGTCGCGCCCTGTATGAAAGGTTGACCTGTATTAATGCATTTACGCAGACGAAGTCCTATATAAAATAAGAGTCATTGCCGAATCGCTCTTTTTTTCAACAATCAAGCAGCAAGGGGCACCCGTTTTCGTCATCTAAGGGGTCAAAGTGAAGCAGATCTCCAACTGGCTGATGAAATCCTGAAATATATGGCTATCCGTGCGGCCATCATATTTTTCTGCTCTACTGCGAAATACGATCGGATTATTTGTAGAGATCTCATTGGGTTCTGGGAGTCATGCCTCTTTACCAAATAGCTGATCCAGGAGAAAGAGCTTAAGTGTAGCCTACCCCTCCTGACTACGCTGCGGTAGTTTTATTGAATGAAAATTTTAATAGGATTGGCCTTACTGTTATGCCTATCCGTGAATCTTATTTATTGCATTGGTGCCTTAGCTTGGTGCAAGAAGACGTAACGTTGCTTTTCGTGTGCACAAGATGCTGTTTGCGACTAGCCTTGAATGCTCAGAGTGTTCAAAACGGTGCAGCAACGCGCATCCAACCTCCTCCTCTCCCCATATTTTGAGCCTCTGCGAGACGCAGGAGGGAGGTTGATGGAATATTTTTGGAATCCACTCAATAACTTTCTACTATGCCCTGTGTAAGCCTGGAGTCAGGTGTCTCGTGGAGTGTCTGTCTACTGAGACCCTACATGAAACAATAAATGAATGGTATTCCTCGCTACGTTCTGCAGCAAGACATTTTTGGAGCCACCAAGCAGTGGGACGAACGGCTGACCAAGTGTTTAATAGATAGAATCCAGCTGGTGGTGCCTGTCGTTGCCCAGCGTGGACCATTGTGCAACCAAGGCATTATAGCCATGGAGGGCAGGTGTAAAGGCGTTAATGTGTAAAAGGAGCTACCCCTCCCCCGTAGACACTGTGGTAACCGCTAGTCAAGGAGTGTCCACTGAGAGGGAATGCAGCTGGTCACACCTTACCAACAGCGAACTTGGTGCATTGTGTGCCCCGACTAGCTGTTACATATGGAGGGCATTTATCTACGCTGGCGCTTTGTGGCTCTATACGCGTCAGCGCTCAGACGTCACGGACTGGAAGGGAGACGCGGTGTTGCACTTCGAAGGAAGGCAGAGCACCGAGATCTGAAGTGTTGGGATGGGTTGTCCACTGCCCACTGCAATGCGCATGCTTGTGGGTGGTTGGTGCACCAACGGAAGTGTTGAGGCTTGTTAAATGGAGAAATAATATGCTGCAATAAATGTTAAAGTAGAAAAGGGAATATTTTGGAGCTCTTTCTGTGTGCATGTTGCTTGTGTCACACGCGGAGGGTCTCTGGCCCTCAACCGCTAACGTGTCCGAGCAACCGAGCGTCGGCGCAGAGATCTCTTTTTCGAAGCCTGGAGAAATATTCTTTTGAAAAGGCGTTTGAAAAGTGCAAGGGAGTGAAAAGTGGAATGCAAAAGAAAAACAAGGGAGAGCACCCCCGAGCCACAGCTGCGGTGATTCTACCACCCGCCCCTTACGAGAGTCGAGGTTAGGTGGGAACCGGCTAAGGCAAGATTTTTTGATATTGTTTGAAGCGAGACGAGCAGACCTATCCTTTTCCTTCTCTGTGCTGTTGCACTATCCATTTCTGGGCAACTTCTCCAAAGGGGGCTGTGAACAGCTGCTCCGTTTCTCGTTGTGGGTGTCCTTTTGCCTCCCATTTGTTTCTCTCTTTCCGGATCACTGAGAGAGCCAGGCGCTGCCTGCTCATTGTAGTTTTGCAACTACTGAGACCAATGGTTAACCATTCGCGGGGGAAGGACGCGGGGCATCCCCCCCAGTGCCTCGCCACACTAATTACTTGTAGTACTGCTTTGAGTGCTCCTATAACTCCTGCTACTTGTGCAACTGCTGCCACAACAGCCACTGGTACCATCCCTGGCAATACTTGTAACACTGCGAATTCGACCGCCACTGCTCCTCCTCCTACTAGCAGCAGCGCAAGCAACAGCAGGACGCTAAAAAACGCAGCTCCAACAATACACTCTGCTGCTGGATTCTCCCGCAGTTTGTTGCTGTCTCACTGCCCAAGGCTCCTTTCGCTTCTCTGTCTCATCGCCCTCCTCGCTGCGCCTCTGTTAACCGCTGCTCGGGACGAGCACCTGCAGCTAACGCCAGCGCAGCAGGGGGAACTGCAAGAAAGCGAGGAGACAGCAATGCCACCGACTCTTACGGAGCGAGAGGAAGCTCCATCCGAAGACTCGACTGCAGACTCCTTCACAGGCCCCTCTCAGCTAGCAGAAGAAAGAGCCAACAAGTTCATCACCAATGCTCCTGGTGCGCCTCTACCCCTCTCCCTGAACACTCCACAGTTGAGTCTTCTCTTCTCCCTATTAGGCCCTAAGATGATGGACCCTTACACGCAGCCGTCGAGGAGTGTGGAAGGTCTCTTGCGGCATGTGTCATGAGCTGCGCGACAGCCTGCCGCCTTGTCTACGTTTGAAGAGGTGTATGGCATTAGAGCCTCCTCCCTCGGCTTTGTTCTCCTCAGGAGCTCCCGCAGACGGAGGCATAAAGGCGGATCAGGAAATGTGTGCTTGGATGTTTGATTCGCTCATCGCATACTTCGAGGTAGGGTACACTTTTGCCCAAGGTATTGCTTCTCGTCCTGCTCCTCGAAAGCTGACAAATAGACACCGCGTGTCTTGGAAGAGCAACCTGTTGGCGCGTAGGTTTGGGTGTCATGGCTTGAAGTGTATTAGAAAACTTCAGTTCATTCCCTGAGGCTTAAAAGGTGTTTTTTGCTCAGGGTCCTAGTGAAGAACCTCCAATGCCCCCTTCCGTTGAGGCGCTCCACGAGAAGCATGCACAAGTGCCTGCTTTTGTTACGTGGATGAAACGCCGCAGCGGGCACTGGGGCTTTAAAGAGGAAGACGTCAATCTACGAGGATGCATTGGCTCTCTTGAACCGATTCCCATCACCAAACTCAGTGCGCTTGCTTTCCTTTGAAAAAAAGAGAGGAAGGGGAGGTGCCCACGCTCCTGCCCTCAGCGTTTGAGATTCATTGCGTTTGGCGCTGCAGAGAACTATGCACTACTTAGTGCGCTAAATGACTCACGTTTCAATCCCATAACGCCGTCAGAAATTCCTGAACTCAAATGCCACGTATCTCTTCTGCACAGTTTCGAAGTACGTGTTTAGCGCTAAAGGGGCTGCCGGCTTTTTGAGCTGAGCTGCTCTCTTCGCCAATTAATTCTTCCAGGAGGCAGAAGCCGCTCAGTCTGGACTAGCCTCAGCGCGAGGGCTTGAGGGTCAAGGCTTGTGCGTTAGGGTGCCTTTTAAAGGGTGTGTTGTGTGTGTTTATGTGTGTCTGTGTGTAAGTATGTAAGTATGTATGTATGTGTATGTATCTATCTATCTATCTCTCTATGTGTGTGCATGTATGAATGCATCTATCTGTCTCTCTACATGTGTGCATGTATGAATGCATCTATCTGTGTATGTATGTGTGAATTGATGCATTTACGCATGTATGTTCTATTTGCATGAAATATGTGAATATTTTGTCGCTGAATGTACGTACGTTCGTGTGTATATTCTGCAGCGCGGGAAGGATCCATATGACTGGGATGTTGGTCTGCATGGTATCATTATCAACTTCACTGCAAAGGGCAGAGGGTAAGCCTGGAGAAGAAGTCTGAAGCCTAATGACCCCTCTCTACGAGCTGTTGTAGCGTCTTTGCGTAAAAGCGCTGGTCTTGACAGTAGTGTTGCAACGTTGTCGCTTCGCGAGAAGCCTCCCACTACTGCGGTCTGGAGTTGCTCTAGTGGCATGCGCGCATTTGAACCTATCGAAATTTTTCTGCACAGGGGCTTAAAGAATTACCAGGCGACATATCTGCCCGAGGTAGCGGCCGAGACGGGAATGAGCAAGGAAGAGACTATTACATCCCTGGTAAAAAGCATTTGGAGGGGGGAAATTCAGCTTGCGTGTAGTCTCTACAAGTGTAAGAGCCCTCGCTGCCTTTACGGATCAGCGCTCGCTCCCGTGTTTGCCGTTCTTTTAACTCGCTGCGGCTTTATGCTTGCCAAGCATGAAGGGCGGCCTTCGTTCTCTAAGGATTCTGGGGTGTATCATGAGGGTGTTTGGTGTGGCTTCCCCAGATACACTGTCTGTCTGTGTGTGGTTGGCAGTAGTTGACTGTCTGTATGTCTATGCCATGTCTATGTGCGCGATTGACTGCATGCGTCGACTCGCATGCCGCTTGTTGCCGTCCGAGGGATGATAAGGCACTGCCTGAAAGTGTGGGGCTTGCCGCCGTTGGGATGCATGCATGCGGAGAATGCGAGGCATCAGACGTGCAGCGGGTTGCTAGTAGGCTCTGGAGGAAGCGCGCGGCTCCCAAGGGGTTCCGGTGTATGTGTGTGAATCGTTTGGATTTCTTGTGATTATTCCCAGGTGCGTAAGGCAGGCTACACGAAGGGCCCTGTGGATGCAACCCTCATATCTGGAATCTCTTTGACGCGCTACCAGTCTTCCCAAGCGCGTCTTGATTACGACAATTATATAAAGCTTTTCGGGCATCTTTCGGAAAGGAAAGCACAGGCCTAGTGCTCTGCAAGGTTTAGAAAGGGGCCCTGCTGTTTTTGGCTAAGCTGAATACCATCTGCTCACACAAGAGACAGGCAGTCTAGAGGCTGTGGCAGAAGGCTGCCCCTTACGGATGCACATGCTGGCAGACAGCATGTGCATCCGGTTAAGCGGCAGAAGATTGGGATTTGGCGCATGCGACGCACTCGACGTCCTTCTGCCCCGAATGTGTATACTTGACTGCTCGGACGGTGTGCTACGGGGGGGTCCCCATGCGAAAACATGCGCGCCGCAGTAGACAGCAGTGCAGGGTGTGCCGTGCTTGGCTCATGCGTGTCTCTCCGGTGCATGTATGACCAAGGTTTTCTTGAGCGTGTGTCTTCCGGAGTTTTGGGGTGTATGTTCATGTATGCAACTGCACATTTTGCATGCATGCAGCGCGCCAGGCGGCCCTCCTTCTGCATGGCGTCCCCTAGCCTTGCGTGTATATATTTGCATGTACATGCTTACACGGACGTCGGCAAAAGGCATATATATATATATATGTATCTGTGTGTATTTATGTACATGCTATAGGCATACAGACATGTATGTATTTGAGTGTACATATGTACTTGTTGCATGTAACCAAAGTTAAGGCCTCCATCACATCCGCATGCGGAACAAGTCATCGCATTGCCCTAGGGTCAAAATGCGTTCAAGGGCATTTTAAGGGCGTTTACGGGTTAGAAATCCGTCTTTTAAGACTGAATTTTTTTGTCAAGGGTGCAGCTTTGTGAGGTGTCTAGACACATCCCGACCACCCAAATGGTGCTGCTCAAGAGAGGTGCTGCTCCAGCTGGGAGCTCGTCGTCCTTAGGCACTGGCGTTGGGTAATTTCTGAAAGCACAGCCTAGGGGAAGAAGGCCGGGAAGCAAGAGGGTGGGGGTAGACGAGGTGTACTTCCTCAAGAACGCATGCACAGGCTACGTTTTTTTTGCGGCTCTTGAGCTGCACAGCAGGGCCCCCTGGCGCAGTCCTAAATTCGGAGCAAGGAAGGCACGTGATACGAACGGTCCTATCCTCCTCTGTGTATATATGTCTGTATGTGTGTATGTCTTGAGAAGACACACACTGCGCAAGAAAACACACAGCGGCACCCGCTGCCGCAAGTGCTGCTGGCGAAGCTCTGCCTGTGTCGTCTGCGGGACTGCCTGAGCACGTTAGACGTGTTTGCTGCTGCAGCACGACACGTCAGCGGAGCCACGAAAGCGGCGGTAAAGAATCCTTGCTGCTGCAGGTATGCGAGCCGCGCATGGGTTGTACCACACTAGGTGCTGCTGACAACGACTAAAACTGTTTGTTAACAGCTGCTAAGCCGGCTTTCTTTTCCGCGTACGCCCTGTCGATCGACAGTTTGAGCTGCCTGCATTTGCAGTGCCTCAGCAAGGCCTCGCACATGCGTTCTTCCAATTTCTCGGCGAGCAGCAGGAAAGCTTCCTGCAGCAAAACACGCCTTTGCTTCTCCTAGCATGCGAAGGGGGTCACTTCTCCGCAGCAGCCGCCACTAGGCACGAGAGAGCATCCCCCATCTTCCCCCATCCTCCAGAAACCATACGAATGAGGGTCTCTGTTGATGCAACTGTACCACATCGTCAATGCGGTGTACATACATACACGCCGGCGGACCATCCTGCTGCCATATTTGCATTTCTAAGGAGCTGCACTGCCCCGTGTGAGTGACACACCAGCTCGGGAGGCACCTACCTGAAGCTGGACGGTTTTATTCCACTCCTTTTCATAGAGACGCGCAATGCGCGCTCGTGCATTCGTCAAGCTCGCCTGCAGGTGAGCCTGCGACTGCGCATGCAATCCACACAAAAAAGCCACCAAGCGTCCTAACACCACCACACTGCTGCAGCGACAAGCGAGCTGCATGCAAGCAGCCCGCTGCAGAAAGGCGGCGGCCCCTCTAAACATTCGTTCATTCGAGCCTACTTGCTGATGTGCTGATATTCCCACCGACGGCTCAAGCTCTTGCCCCCTGGCAAGCCGCTGCAGAGACTGCTGCACCTCCTGCACCCGCATGCTCTGGCGCTTCCTGCAGCAGCACCAGCCCCCAAACAGTGCTGCGCGGCAGCTCCAGCATGCAGAAATGCATGCAGAAATGCATGCATGAACGCTTCTGCAGTGTATGCGACAATTAGCCTGTCCACGGCAAACCAGTGCAAGCAGGAGAGAGGCTTCCAGAGGAGTCTAGCCTACAGACTCCAGTGTCTAATATTCAGAAACACAATCGCGCGTCTGCAAATGGAGGTGCTGCCTCCGTGTTCATGAATCGCTCGTTGATCCTTTACCTGCTATCCTGCGCATCTCTGATTGTGAGCGTACAGTCTTTGACCAAAGAGAGAGTTCGCTGTATCTGCTGTTGGAAGGCTTCGTCTTCTGCTGTTGTGGGAGTAGCTGCTTCAGCTGCTGCTGCTATCGAGGCATCGGACGCAGCCGGGAATTGCAGACGAAAGCCGTCCAACGTCTGGGGGCCTTTGAGCTGTACATACACCCCGCAGCAGCGGATACTGCTCAGCGAGAGAGAGAGACAGAAAGCACTTTCCCAGACCCCGAAAGTAAGACTTTCAATCATGGCATTGTAATTTGTGTCGCCTTGATGTGATAAAAAAAATCCCCAGCCCATTCAAGGCAACCCTAAGAAGAACCATTGCAACCACCGCTTGCCTGTTTGGAGTCTGGTGCTTCCGCTGCTTTGTATCCTGGCCTTTGGTACTGTTGCTGCTGTTGCAGCTGTTGCAGTTGGTGCTGCTGTTGCAGCTGTTGCTTTTGTTGTTGCTTTTGCTGTTGCAGCTGTTGCTGCTGTTGCTGCATGAGGTATCTGGGAACCTCCGGAACCTGGAGATCATCGCCTTCGAGGATGCGCAGCAGCACGTCGCATATCTGCCCGCCCCCAAAAGTATCCCTTTGTTTGAGAATGTTGAGCACCCTCCTGATTTCGTCGCGCTGCGCAGCAGCAGCTGCTGGCGCGGCAGCAGCTGCACAGAGACTCTGCAGGGGCCCGCAACACAGCTGCAGCAGGAAGGGGGCCCCACAACTGCAGCATCGCTGCAAGACGTCGTTGATTACGTAGAGCAGCAGCACCAGCTGGCTTCCGTTTCCTTGAGTCGACGATCCTGCTGCCTCTCCAGCAGCCGCAGCTTCGATCTGTCTCTGGAGAGCCGCGATGAAATGGTAGACGGCAGGCGTTTGCGCAGCATGGACGAGTGCAGCGGAGAGCCCCTGAATGCATGCGCTGCTTCCATCAATGCACCCGAGGCCCCCCTCGAAGGATCTGAGGGCCCCCAGACCCTCTGCAGACAGCGAAGATAGGGGTGCAAAGGGGGGGGCCCCCAGACCCTCTGCAGACAGCGAAGGTAGGGGTGCAAAGGGGGGGCCCCCCGGAAGAGCGGGCTGGCCTTCCCACATGGCTGCGGAGTGCATGGCAGCGAGCGCGTGGCTCGGGGGGGGGAGGGAGGGAGGAAGGCGTTTCGGGGGTGCTGTCGCGGCTACTCCATGGAGGCGCCAAGTATCCGGGGTGTGTCTGTCTGTGTGTCTGTCTGTCTGTCTGTCTGTCTGTCTGTCTGTCTGTCTGTCTGTCTGCGTACGGCTGAGCCTTTGGAGGAATTCCGAAGGAAAAAGCGCCAAGGAGGCAACGGCCTGCACGAAGTTCAAATTCAAAAGTCGCCTTGCGCGCCGACACGCGGGTTAGCGAGAGGGAGGGCGTTAGCGAGCTCCGGGGAAGCCGCGCAAGAAAGCGTGTGGCGAGGGAATTCGCCTCCTCTCTGCTCCGCAGAAGGAGCTTTCTGGAAAAGGCTGGCTGGCTGGCTGACTCGAGAGCGTCGTGAGCATGCAGGAAGCGCATCGGGCAGTGCGGAGCGCCAGCCAGCAGCAAGCCCCAAAGCAGCGCATGCTGCCGCAACGTTTGTGTCAGTGGAGGCGGCCAGCGGGCGAAACAGCAGCGGCGACGACTGCCGAGGCGGTGACGAGACACCTCAGAAAATGCATTCTCGCGTTCTCAGTCTCGAGCAAGCTCCTGCAGACTCCTCTCTTTGTCACTCGCCATGCAGCGCAACCACCCAAGGAGCGCAGGCCCTGCCCACCGTGAGAGACACGCCACTGCAGCGCATTTCACGCGCGTAATTCCTCGCGATTTGTCTGCTTTTTGGCTTTAAAGGCGAAGGCTGGAGTCTTCGTTGGAGTCGTCGAGTCTCCGACTCGCCCAACCTAGCCAGCCGCAAGCCTGCCCCCCTCTCCCCCCTCCTCCGCTTGCTCTCCGCAGCGAAGGCACTGCAGCGGCAGCGAATTCAGCTGCCGCCATCCCTCGCAGACGAGTCGGAACGCAGCCTTCGGCGGTGCAAGGGGGATCTCGATCTCGCTCGCTCGCTCTCTCTCTGTGTCTGTGTGTGTGTACGTACAGAGAGAGGCACCCCAACGCAGCTCCTAGCCCTCTCTACCTAAAAAGCACGCCAGCAGCAATAGGCGAAAGCCCTCAACGGCCTCAATGCCACCCGTGCTGCAGTTGCAGCAGCAGGAGCTGCTACAGCTGCATAGGCTCCCTCGGATACAGCATCAACTCCAGCAGCAACAGCAACACACGCAACAGCAACACACGCAGCAGCAACACTCGCAACAGCAACACACGCAGCAGCAACACACGCAACAGCAACATTCGCAACAACAACAGCAACATACGCAACAACAACAGCAACAACAGCAACATACGCAACAACAACAGCAACATACACAACAGCAACATACGCAACAACAACAGCAACATACGCAACAACAACAGCAACATACGCAACAGCAACAGCAACATACGCAACAACAACAGCAACATTCGCAACAACAACAGCAACATTCGCAACAACAACACACACAAAAGCAGCAAAAGCAGCAGCAGAAGCGCGAGACAGGCCCTGCTGCTGCAAACCATGGAGAGCAGCAAGAGGAGCCGCATGCATCGTCGATATCGCCTCCAGAACGGCAGCAGCAGCAGCAGCATCCACAGCAGCACCATGCAGTATCTCTAAACGCAGCATCCAGCAGGCAGCAAAAAGCTGCTGCAATTCCAAATTATGGCGCGCGAAACGACGAGGGGAGATCACGACAAGAAGGTCAGCTCAACCCTCGCCAAGTGCGTTCCTTGCAAGCTGATCTTCGCCCATCTGAAGAAGCCACGATATCCGAAACTGCATCGTTCATGCCGCTTTCATCAGCAAAAGCAACAGGATTGTCTCCCCCTGCTGCAGCTTTAGCAAGCCGCTGTCTGCAGCAGCAGCAGCCGCAGCAGCTCGCCGATGAGCAAGAGAAGACGCCGTCGCGACTCATGAATGTAGCCTTGACGGCATGTGACATTGCAACTCCCCTCGAACTCCCTCAGTCTGTATGCGCTGCAGCAGCAGCAGAAGACGCGCAAGCAGCAGACGCATGCTCGACGCACCTTGACGCCTCCACGCTGGCTGTACAGTCAGGGCTTGTCGTGGTTAGTGCCTCAACGGCAGGTGCAGCTGCAGCGCCTCCTTTAGCCGAAGCACGTGCAGCTTTTCGGGGAGTGAGGCAGCAGATACAGCAGCACAAGCAGCAGATACAGCAGCCCAAGCAGCAGATGCAGCAGCCCAAGCAGCAGATCGAGAGTCAGCCCTTTGAAGGGCAAGGTAAGCATGCCTTTATTGGTATTGCGCGGCAGCAAGACAGGAGCAGCAACAGCAACAAGAGCAGAATAGGGAGTGGCAGCCGCCTTCCAGAGCTCTGGCAACACACGAAAGCCTTTCGCAAAGGCAGCAGCAGTCGGAGCAGCAGCAGCAACAGCCTTGTGGGGGCACTAGCTGAACTTCTGGGGGGAGACACTGGAGGAGACAGGAGAGGCAGCAGCAAAGAGCTCCCCGCGGAGAGTGATGACGATATCTTGCTCCTACCGCGACCATCCCAGCAGCAGCAGTTGCCTGACAGAGCCTCTGCCTTGCCAGCACAGCCGCTGCAAAATCAGCAGCAGCAGAATCCACCAAAGGGGAGGTGTTTCTTCTACGGGCTGCTGCTGCTGCTGCTGCTGCTGCTCGCGGGAGCCTTGCTGCTCGGCTGTCTCTTTCACAAGCACAAGCTGGTGCGCATGAGACCTAGAGACTTGCAGCGCCTGCAGCTAGCAACCTTTCGGCAGCTGCAGCAGCAGCTTCTACAGTCGTCGGCGCAGCAGCAGCAGCATCCTTTGCCGCTGTGCTGGCACCACCCGCAGCAGCTCTTCGAGCTGCAGCAGCAGCTGCTGCTGCTGCACCCTTCAAAAGAAGCGGCAGCAGTATTTGCAGAGGCCACTGCAGCGGCAACAGCTGGCATTGACAGCAGCCAGTCTGCAGCACTCTCTTCGGAGGCGGCGATGCTTTTCTTGCAAGCCTTGCAGCAACGAAAGCAACAGTCTCCAGAGACAGAATTCTGCAGCAGCGGCTGCTGCGCGAGCTCGGAAGCAGTGGCAGAAGAAGCAGCAGCAGCAGCAGCAGAAGAAGCAGCAACTGGGGGATTAGTGGACTCTAGGAGCCATGTGACGAGGCTGTTTTTCACATCTGCTGCATTGCTGCGAGACAGCAGCAGGGATGTCAGCAGCAGCAGCAGTAGCAGTCGTGCCACATGCAGGCGCAGCAACAGCGTGCTGTCTTCCCCTGCCGTGGTGTCTCAGAGCAGCAACAGCATCCCTAGGAGCAACAGCAACAGCGCGAGCAACAGCAACAACAGTACGACCAGCAGCAACAACAGTGCCAGCAGCAGCAACAGCACCAGCAACAATAGCGGCAGCAGCAATACTAGCAACAGCACGTGTTCTTTACCTCCGTTCCCCAGGGGTGTCTGGTTTTTTGTTCGAGCCAAGGCAGCTAAGCAGCTTCGCTCTTTCATTTCTCCCGCTACGGCTGCTTCTCCTGCTTCAGTGCTTGTATGCGCTGAGGAAGACTTTGCATATCTCGCCGCTTCCGCCTCCGCCCATGCAGCAGCCGCTGCCTCCGCGGCAAAGAGCTGGCTAAGTGCTGGTGCAAGCCGTTTAAAAGCAGCTGCGTTGAGCGCAGCCAATGCAGTCATTCGCGCGTTGACACACTTCAGAAACATCCAGCACGCAGCAAGTGCTGCAGTGCAAGCAGGCGCTGCAAGCGTGATGGGTGTGGTGCCTTCTTTAGCTTCTCCGGGAACAACAACAGCGGCAGACTTTCCGAGCACATGTGCAGCTTTTCCTGGAGAATGCATGCAATGCAGCAGTCTTAAGGCGTCGGAAACGCAGTTGTTGCAAAGCCCGCCGCAGCAGCTTCCTCGGCAGCCGCTACAGCAGGAGGCGGTTTGCGTGCCAACGCCGCATGCAGCGGGAAGCCCCAAGGCGGCTTGCTGTGAAATGGCCTTTGAGTTGATTCTGATGCAGCTCCTCGAGCAGCAGCAAGTGACTCTGTCAGATCCACGAGGCCGTTTGATTCTCTACGCCTCTGCGCTGCGAGCCGCGACGGGAGGCTTGCTGCCTTCTGCTTTCCTCCGCCTATTTGATCAGGAGAAACAAGCGCCCTCTGCAGCCAGTGCGGCACGGCTGTGGGAGATTTCCGTGGCGCCTTCAGAAACACCACCTCCCGGCGAGGTTTCTGAAGCTGCGGAGTACGCGCAGAGTGAGAAAGGCGCCTTCGGATCGCTGCCTCTGGTGTCTCTGCAGCCGGAGTTTGCTGCCTTCGGAACGCCGTGCTACCCCTTGGCACGATTCTTGCATCAGCGGCTGCTCGGCTGGGGAGGCTTGCAGCTGCATCTGCTGCTGTTGGGGGGTTGGGGATTTTCCTTGTTTTCTGCCGCTCCCTTGACGCTTGTTCATGTGCCGCGTGCTGCCTTTCTGTCGCTCCTCATTCTGTATCGAGGCATTTGCTTGTACACGGGATTCAACTGGCTGGGTTCGAAGCTTGGTCGGTGGCTTGATCAGCTGCAGCAGCACCTGCAGCAGCAGCAGCCGCTGTCTTCGCCCTCGCTGCATTCGGGAGCTTGGGAAGAAGACGCAGACGAGGGGGAGGAAAGAATCAGCTGGACGGATATCGATGTTAGCGATCACGTGCTGTTGTATGTTCTGGCTGTGCTCATTGTGGCTATTGAAACGTCTGCCGCTTTCGCTTCGCACCCGCCTCCGCCTGACACTGCGGGAGAGAGCCGCAGCAGCAGCAGCAGAAGAAGCTCGTGGCGGCGTGTGCCTTCACTTTCGCGGGTTGCCCCTTTCCTGTGTGCAGCCTACTACAGCGTTATTTGCTGTTGCTGTCTTCTTATGGCGTATATGACTGCACGCTTCTTTCACACACCCGCGGAGGTGTGGCTGGCCTTTGTTGCTGCACTGCTGCTGCTGCTGCTGCCCGTGCTGCTGATCCTCGAAGTCTGCGAGACACCGAGCCTCCAACGAATTGGGCTGCTTCGGAGCAGCGGCGGCTGCTCCGAACAACTGTAGCAGCATTAGCAGCAGCAGCAGCCGGTGCTGCTGCTGCTAATGCTGCTGCAGAAAAAAAACCCTTATCCCCTTCGTGCGCCTCGGGAGGTGCTCTTCGCGCCGCTCTTTCTGACACTGCTGCCGCACAGATCAGCTAGTGCCATCTGCGCAGTTTCACTGTCTCTCCTCCTGCCTGAACTTGTAGAGGGATGCTCTCTTGCTGGCTGCTTTTGCGGCTGGCAGTAATTTAGCAGCAGCAGGGCAGCGTGACAAAAAGGTGCCATGCTGCACTGCAGTAGGAGAATCAGCTCGAGTGCTTCTGGGGCTGTAGCCGTTCGATTTGAGCAGCACCTTAAAGAGCGCGCGGTGTATGTACACTACACTGGGAAGCGCAACAGCGCGCCTTAAGGCTGCGCGCTCAAGCCTGAGGGAGGATGACACCTCTTGAGGGGCTTTCTGGGCAGGAAAGCCTCATCTAAGGGGAACGAGAAGGAACGACAGTAGTAGAAGGAAATATTTAAGAGTCCTTACAGTGTCTCTCTTTAGGTTCTGGAGATGCAGATTCGTGCACGTGAAGAACGCCATTTAGTCCTTTTATCCGACAGCCTTTTCCAATTTCCCTCTCGACACTAGACAGACAAAGTTTAGCGGCACGCATCCAGCCCATGCCAAAAAGCCTTCTCCACCAGGGAGGGCAGGCAGCAGCAGCCGCTTCAGCAGCAAACGCTGTAAGCGAAGATACTCTTACCTTGTGATCGCCAAACCTCCACGGGGCGTTGGTGGTCTGTCAGCGGCGAACGTCGTCATGCTTGGTGTAAGATCTTTGCAGTACACTGCGCGACTTTGGGGAAAGAGGAGGGTAGGAGGCACACTAGGAATTTTTGACGGCGTGATCATAGCATAGCGCTACATTCACGTCTCCTGTTTCAGATGTCAAATCAGGCGGAAATTGCGCTTGAAGTATGGAACCAAAAACCAACGCGCTTGTCTGTACGCAAGGTCACCTACCTTGGAGGTTTGCTGGCTCGCCAATGCAGACAGAGTCGTGGGTGTATGTACTTGCCTAATCTTTTCAGTGTACGCATTTGGAGCGCCCGAGGCCTATGTAAATTTCATCCTCTCCTGGGGAGCCTCCATATGCGAGATGAAATATGAGGGTACACTCGAAGCTGCTCGCAGGTGCAGAAGAATCGCTGAGAGAGTGTGTGTGTGTGTGTGAGCGCTCCCTGCGGCAACAGGCATTATGAACGATGTTTTGCTAGGGCTATTGCGGCTTTTCGCATGTGTGGTTCAATGCCTCATCATGGCAAGGGCACTGCGAAGCCCAGATGCAGGCGTCTTGCGTGTATCTTTTCATCCGAATGCAAAGAGAGGCTACCGCGTGCTAGTAGGCCATCCCAAGCACATACCAATATTGCATGTCGACTTTCCTGCTTAAAGCTGTCACCTTTTGCAGGCTGCTACAGCTTCATTGACGTCCACGGTCCGCTCACCTGCTGCTTGCACGCGTCCACATCTTTCTTGCAGCATTTGACGTCCTGGTTCTCGTCATGCTTTGATCAATCGCCTCATTCTGATCCAAGCGAACTCCCAGCGCGCTGCATCACACGCTGCTTCGCCTCGATTCAAGCTACTGGGAAAGACGCCACTAGCGGACGGCCGGCACACACTTCGCGATCATTCCACAGCTGTTTAAATTGAAGTTAAAACATCCTCCGCTAAGAGTGCCTCTAAGCCTGCTTTCATGGAGGGTAACGGGAAAAGGCCTGAATATCCCCACGCTGCTCAAATAGGCAAGGCACACGATTTTGATGAGCCTCTGGGCTAGGAACTAGCCCCCTAGAAGAGGGACGTAGCAGCCAAGTATGCATCTGCAACTTGCTTTTGAACGGAAACGTGTTCCTATTGTGCATTCGCCACAAGGCACTGGGCTTCCGACGAAGGAGGATTGCCAGGGGGCAGCTGATTACAATTCCAGGCCGTTGAGGTGATCGCAAACTAACTCTGAACACTAGCGCACTCCACAGGGCTTTATATTGGTGCCCTATGCTTTTCCTTTAAAGGGTGAAATAAAAGGGAATATTCATAAAAAACCTTTGAAATGCTCGTAAGGTAGCTGAAAAATGCGTGCTGACTAAGCGAAGGGGGGCACACTAAGATAAACAAATCCGGATGCAGAACTCGCCAGTATCAAGTACAACCGGCGACTCAGGGTGCTCAAACATGCATTCAAACTCCATATATCGCTGCTGTTTGCTCCAACCAAAAGGCCTCAGTTGGATTCAGAGGCAAACCAGCAACTCAACAATGTACCCTCTAGAAGGCTCCAGGTGTGCAGAGCATCATGCTCTCAGAAGAGCTCAGGCGCTCTGGCTTACACAAACACGCAAACTCTAGCGTGTCTAAAAATCGCTTTCAAAGAGAGGAAGAAGTTGACCCCTCGGTATGCCTTTCTCCACTATATCCGCCAGCTGCCCCAAAATATGCTCGAGTACTGTTACGATCCAACAGCGTGCATTCATCTGATTTTTACTTTATGTTGACAGTGGTCAGCTACCCTTTGGTCCCGGTAAATGCACTACAACTCAAATGTCGCAAAAAAGTTGGGTACTATCCTGGCTAAAAGGCATGAAAAGCGAACCTCTTCCTCTCGGCAAGCGTACAGGGTCATACGGGTGCTCATCATGGCGTACATACACGTAGATTAAGCCCCTTAGCCTCTGCTCAAGGATGTGCTGCTTAGAACTCCCGCAAAAGCAACCGTGAGCACGGTAGCGATGCTCGATTTCACAGATGCTGCACGAGCACTGCAAATGAGCAGCAATGGGCTGTGCTGCCCCTCATCAAACGCTCTTTCTGCTCTGTTTGGTAAATAATACTTCGGATTTTGTCTAGGCTCAAATGCACAGTTTAGGCATATTCGCACATTTTACTTGCTTTTCTTGCATTTGAGTAGCTCCGCATTACAAGAGTGAAGAGTGAGCGCATGTGCGCTACGCTGCCTTGTGGCCGTATTTTCGGATGCACAGAATGCTCAGGGGATGCAGTTACTCATGCACTGAAACGTTCATTTGCCCTGCTTAAAGTGCTGTCCTCTTCCGCAGACTGCACTCCCTAAGTGTTCCTGTCAAGCCTGCATTGCTGTGTGCAGGTTTCCCATGGTAAGGGATTTCAGATAGAGCGGCGTATATGACAAGAAACGGACTACACCTCTGTACTTCCGGCCACATCAGTTCTATTTACATGGAATTAGTGCGCAGCTGGCTTACCTGAGTTTGTAACTTTGTGCACCACATGTATTGCTGAATAGCGTCTGTGTGATCGAGAAGACTCGATGCTGTGTGCATGTACGCCGCATGACATGTTCAACAAGCTGTGAATTTTCAACTTGCGTATAGGGACCAGCGACGCGCACCCTAGGTTTCCCTTTTCCCTCATTTCCGGATTTAGAGGGGCGGGAGCAGAACAAGGCAGAAGTTCATTTGAGAAATACTCAGCAAGCTTCTAGGAAATATTTGTTGCAGCTGGAGTTAAGTGTGTGTTAAGAAGAACCCCAGATTGGGCATTACATACACGATAAACCATCAGTCCGTTGAGACGCACGTACAGGCGGGCCCTGTCTTGCTTAGGGGAAGTTGGCTGTCTGATGCTCTTTGATGCTGCCCACGCCAGATAGCTATGCACAAACGGAGGTGGCGGTAAAAACTGCCAGACACGAGAGGTCGCAAGAAAAGTGCACCCACCTACCTCTAAACGCCGCATGGAGCAAAATACTATGGAAAATGCGCGTCTTCTTCAGCTCTGCATCGTACTGTGTAGGACTGCCCCGAAACTGTTAGTTTGGCATCTATTAATCGTGTGAGTATTCGCCTCTGGCGTAGCAGCAGGATCGGTGTAAAACAACATACGTGTCTTCCCAGCAAGCCTTCCCTCGGCTGGGTGGCTAAGAGCTGCGGCAAAGGAGAGCGGCGCGTGCGTGGCCGCTGAGAAGGTGCTGCTCCGACATGGATGCATGCGACATAAAACCTTAATTAATACCGCATAAGCCGCCGTTAAAGCCATTTGCAGCGGCAGCAATAGGAGCATCAGCAGCAGCAGCAGCCGCAGACAGCCCCATGCCCTCTTGATGGGAGCGCAGAGGTGTTGTGGTTGCAACACGATCTGGCGCATACTTTCTATGAATTTGGGTTTGTAGTTTAGTTTAAGCTTTCTTGAGCAAGTTTTACTCTCCCTATGAGCGCCTGTTCGCTGCTCTCGCTGCCCTCTATTTCGTGCAGCCGCTGCAGAGAGTGCTGCTTGTGCGCGTGGTGTCCATACAGCAAACGCAGCCGTTCCTTCTTCCGAGGAGTTCATACTTCCTGGAACCACCCAGCGTCACCGAATCTCTGTGGATGTGGTCGTTGGGGAGCAGCTTCCGCGGCAGTAGCAGCAGCGACGGTCATCCCAACGGCCTCTGCAGCGCTTGCAGCGCTTGCAGCGCTTGCCTTCTTCCCTCCTTGGCGAGGGAGAGGGCTTCAAAGCGCGTTGCAGCAGGCTTTGTCACATCTGCAGCTGCATCGGGAACGGCGGGTGTGCAGAGTTGTGCTTCCTGCTGCAGCAGCAGCAGCTGAGTGCTCGTTCTACTTTCACGGATCCGCTGCTCGCGCTGCTTTGCGCCTTTGAGCCTCAGCAGCCGCTGTGGTGACTCATCTGGCGCATAGCAACAACGCACGGAAGGCTGCCGCGGTTTCTTCCATTCGTATTCTCATATGACAGAATTTTCATCGAGCAGCAAGTCAGCCGTAGCAGCAGTGCCTGCTGCACCCCCAGGAGGCACATCGCGCCTTGCTGCTTTTCCCGCTGCTGCCGCTGGCGCATGCGCAGCGTCTTGCGGCTCAGAAGCTCAGCACCAGGCCTCCAGTGGAGGGCTATCCTCCTTGAGAATCTCAGGAGTAGCTCCTGCGTCAGTCTCCGCAGATTCCGTTGCTCTTCCCCAGGTGTACTCAGAGCAGGGAGATCTGCTGGCAGTGGGGTGTCATGACAGCGCTGACGCTGCAGCTGCAGTGTCGGCTGCTGCTGAAGAAGAAGCCGCAGTCGAAGAACCCTGCTGCTGTGACGCAGCCGTTGCTGCAGGCTGTGGATGTGGCAGCTGCATCTTCCGCCATGTACTCCGCACGGCTCGCTGCTGCAGAAGTCTGCAGCAACTGATACAGCAGCTGTCTACACAGGATCGCTGGTGGTGCTTCATACCGAGCCTAGTAAGCGTCAGGCGCTCGTGTGGTTAGCGTCGATCAATCGCAGCAGCTAAATGCCTGCAGCTAAATGCCTGCAGCTAAATGCCTGCAGTTGCCTCTTGCTTTTGTTTTTGACGCACGGAGATCCTTAGCCTTTTCCTGCAGCATGCGTTTTGCTCATTGCAGCGGCGGCAAGAAGCACAACACTAGCAGCTGCAGCAACAATAACAGCAACACCAGCAGCACCTTGTTTCGTGTGCTATTTTGACGTCTCTCCCTCCGGAGAGACGTTCGTGGAGGGGCAGCACGGAGAAAGAAATCCTTTCGTCGGGCAGTCTGTGTCGTGCTTCTGTGTTGCAGCCTGAGTGCCTCTGCAATCGCATCATCAGCTTCTCGTCTCCTGCCTTGAAAGCCACCTTTCTGCGGCTCCTTACGCGGCACTTTGCTGCAGCTAGTGGACCCTATAGTCACAGACAAGTCGGTGACAGTTCCTCACCACGTTCTTCGCCTTGAGCGTCTCTGCTCGCCTGCTGCTCGTATACTTGGGAGCTCCCTGTTTGCGTGTATACCGCTTTCGGAGATGCTTTCTGTGTCTTTCTCGCATGTGTCTCCGCGCCGTCTTTTCGCTCACTCTGACAAGCTGGCTATCCACCCCTCGCGCTTCTTTCCTCCCCCCTCTCATAGCCTGCCCTTCTTCTGTCTCCTTCTTTTTGCGGCATCTGACTCTTCGGAGAAACTTGAGCGCCACTCCTCTGTTGGTTCCGATTTCTTGAGGACTGTGCTTTTTTTTCCAGGGAAAGTGCGAGGTGTGTGCATGCACATGTGCGTGTGGTGGGGCTGTCGGTACACTCCGTGTCTGTGCATTGGAGTGCCTACGAGGGGACCTCTGTGAAGAGGACTGCTACTTCTTTTGATGCTCGCTGCTGCTTCTGCGCCTGCCGTTGCTGCCGGGGTGTCTGTCTGCACTGCACAGCTGACAGCCGTCATAGAAACTGCTACAAGTAGACTGGTTGCCTTTGGAGCTCCTACTGAATGGCCACGCGGTGTTTCTGCACGACTCGCCGTCTCTTGGGGGGGGCACAAAGGCTTTTGCTGCTCTGGAGGAGGCAGCAGCATTAGGAGCAGCATTAGCAGCAGCATTAGCAGCAGCATTAGCAGCAGCATCAGCAGCAGCATTAGCAGCAGCATTAGCAGCAGCATCAGCAGCAGCATTAGCAGCAGCAGCGGTTTGAGCTCTCCTGCCGAAGGTTCCCCCGTGAAGAACGTCGAAGAGGAGGCGGGCAAGCGAGCGTTGCTGCAGCTGGGAAGCAGCAGCAGTGACGCAACAGCAGCAGCAGCGTCTGCAGACACTGCTGCTGCTGCAAGTGATCCAGAGCTGCTGCAGGTGTCTCTGTGCCTCATTCGAAGAGAAGAGATCCTCGCCGAAGGCATTGTGAGAGATCCTTACGAAGAACTCGATGCAGCAGCTGCTGCAGAGGCTGCCGCTGCTGGACTGCAGCAGCGGGGGAGGCTGATGATGGATACTCGGCGACTGCATCCGCTGTCGGCGGCGAAGAGCAGCAGACACAGCGGGAGCAGCAGCACATGCTTCCTGACGTCGAGCGTTTCTGAGTGCGCTGGAGGCAGAATCAGCCCGAGCAGCAGCAGCAGATGCAGAGATAGTCACCTCGAACTGCGATTCGCGGAACCTCCCACTCCTCGCCGCGCAGCAGGCTGCAACAGCAGCAGTCATAGCAGCGCGAAATTCAGCAGCAGGAGGGGGGGGGGCCCTCATTCGCACAGAGGAGACAGACGCCATACCTTTTTCTATAGAATGGCGTCGAGGATCATTTCTGCGGAGCAAGCGGCTTTCGACTTCAGTGCGTCGAGTCGTCTGCGTGGTTCTGCATGCTGCTAGGCGTGACAAGCCTTTTCGCCGTCCCTTAGGTGTTGCTGCTGCTGCGCAGATGCTGCTGCTGCTCCCACTATTCCCTCCAGGTGCTCTCCTGATCTGCTGCCTTCTCGCAGGCAAGGTGACGTATGGCCATCACTCCGCGTCTGGACACCGCACGTACAATGAAGATCGAGTGTACGCGAGCACTGATCTTGGGGCTGCATGCGCCCCCCAGACAGGGCAGCCGGTTAGTGCAACACAGCGATTTCAGCAGCAAATACAGCTCCCTAGCGTGCTGGTGCTGCAGGCGTCTGGCGAGGAAGGAAAAATAGCCGGGGAAGAAGAAGGGAGACAGAAGGGGGGGGGAGAAAGAGGGAGAAGGGAGACAGAAGGAGGGGGGAGAAAGAAGAAGAAGGGAGACAGTGTGTATATATGTATGTGTGTTTGTTTGTGGAGGGCTTAGGGAGGGCAGCTTAAGCGTTAGAGGGGAACCGTTTGTGCTGTCGGATGCTTTTACGACTTCTCAAAAGAGCTGAGTTGTTGCTCTGATATGCAGCCTTAAGCCTGCGCGCATCCTCGCAGCAGACTATGCTCCTTCTTTTGTTTCCTGCTGTACCGCCTGCCTCGCATGCAGACTATGTTTTTCGCTGTGTACGATGGGCATAACGGAGAAGCTGCCGTCGACTTTGTTAGAGAAAATCTGCACATCAATGTTTGCAGGGAGCCGCACTACATGACACACGGTAAGAAATGTTGCCTCTTCCGTCTCTGTTGCCTCTGTTGACTCTTTCTTCTCTTTCATCTCTTTTGCCTCTTTTTTCGTCTCTGTTGACTCTTTCATCTCTGTTGCCTCTCTCATCTCTGTTGCCTCTTTCATCTCTGTTGCCTCTGTTGCCTCTTTCGTCTCTGTTGCATTTTTCATCTCTTTTGCCTCTGTTGACTCTTTCATCTCTGTTGCCTCTTTTGTCTCTGTTGCCTTTTTCATCTCTTTTTCATCTCTCTCATCTCTTTTTCATCTCTTTTTCATCTCTCTCATCTCTTTTTCATCTCTTTTTCATCTCTTTTGCCTTTTTCATCTCTTTTGCCTCTTTCATCTCTGTTGCCTTTTTCATCTCTTTCATCTCTTTTTCATCTCTTTTTCATCTCTTTTTCATCTCTGTTGCCTCTTTCGCCTCTGTTGCATTGGCATGCAATAAGTGAGGCGCATGTCTGTTTATGTGTGGAGCCGTTGGCGAAGGGGCTTCCCTGCGTGCCGTGAAGGCGCCGCGTGTGTTGACGACGGCGACTAGGGGATTCTCGCTGTCGAGACACCCCGTTTTCTGCACTGCGCTGTCTCCCTCTGCGTATGTGTCGTCCTTTCTTGTTTCTTTGCATGCAGATATCTGCGGAGCACTGAAGTGGGGCTTTGCGGAAACAGAGGCTGCGTTGCAGCGGCTCGTTTTGGAGCAAATTGGGGGTAGCGGCTTCACAGACACGGAGACGGTGAGGCGCTGCGTACTGGGCACAGAGTTGCGGTGTAGGCGTAGCGTCGATCTCGAGCGACGACGTCGAATTTCCTCTTTGCAGCGGCAAGGGGGTGCTTGCAGATGGGGTGGGGTGGCGTGCTGCTGGCAATTCAAAAGGTTCTCTTTCCCCCCTTTTTTGTTTCCACTCTCAGTCGCTTTTTTCCTCCGGAACTACTGCATGCGTGGCGTTGCTGCAACACAACACATTATATGTTGCCAGTCTAGGAGACAGGTAAAAGGGGCTTTGTTTGCTGCTTCTCGCGCATGCGCCTCACGCCTTCTGTCCTCTTTCTCTGCTCTTCTCTTCAGACGTGAGGGGGCGGCATACCGGGGATGTCTTGACTCTCCCTCTCCGCATTCTTATTGCGACTGCAGACGTAATTTTATGCCTTACTCTCTGCAGTCGGTGTATCATCTCCCGAGCTGGCCGTGCTGTGCCTCTTACAGAAGATCACCATCTTCGCACCAACAGAAAGGAGCAAGCGAGGGTTCGAGCCGCTGGAGGCAGCTATGACGACGAAGTACTCCCCACAGGCTTTTGCTCTTTTGTTTTGTCTTGGTTTGTCTGTCTGTCTCTCTGCTTGCTTGTCTGTCTGTGCGATGTGCGTGTTTGTGTGTGTACGTCTATCTGTCTATCTATGCGCGCCGTTCTCTTGCTCCCGTCCTTCGAGTCACCCTTGCCTTGCATTGGGTGCTGCTCGGATGGCGACTGCCAACGTCTGTGTTTACAGTCCGTGTGACTTTGATTGGTCTGACGTAGGGGTATTTGAATGGCGTTTTAGCTGTCTCTCGCGCCTTTGGAGGTTTCAGCAAACAGACAGGCGAGAAGCTCATGGGCTTAAGCAGCGAGCCAGACGTCAACGTACATCACATTAGAAAGGGTCAGTGTTTCTGGTGATGGTGTTGCGGCTACTCGTGCATTTCGACTTGCTGGGGGTGCTGCTGCAAGCGTTGCTGTTTCTGCAAGAGTTGCTGTTTCTGCAAGAGTTGCTGTTTCTGCAAGAGTTGCTGTTTCTGCAAGAGTTGCTGTTTCTGCAAGAGTTGCTGTTTCTGCAAGAGTTGCTGTTTCTGCAAGAGTTGCTGTTTTCTGCCAGAGTTGCTGCTTGTGCTCGTGTTTTTGCCTCCAGTCTTGCAGCTGTCGTATGTAGGAGGAGCGTGAAATCTGCGTTGGCTGTTGCTCGTGCCGCAGAGTGTGAAGCAGTTGATCTCTTGCTTTGCTGCTGCGAGAGTTACGGCGGCTTGAGATCCCGGATTGCCGGCTCTACCGGGTGCTGGGAATGCTGGTGTTGTCGTGTTTTTGTGTGTGCGTTTGTTTGCTTAGAGGACGAGTTCTTGCTGTTGGCGTGTGACGGCATCTTCGACGTTCTTACATCCCAGGAGTGCGTTTCCTTGGTGCGTTCGAAGCTGAGAGCCGGGGATTCCCCCTTCACAGCTAGCCAGCAGCTAGCCGAGCTGGCCATGCAGCGGTACTCGCTAGATAACCTCTCCGTCGTAGTGGTAGTGCTGCAGTCTCCCAACAAGGAACCTGACAGAGAAAGAGAGGGCTGGTGGGGTGAAGAGGGAGACTCCGAAGAGCAGTACGTCATTCCCCGTCATCCTACTAGCAGTAGCGGCAGCTGCTGTGTCGGAGGGGCTGCCCAGCAGCAGCAGCAGCAGCAGCAGCAGCAGCAGAAGCCAGACAGACCGAAATTCGACTTCTCTGTCCTTAAGGGATTGCTGTAATACGCTGAAGTGCAGCTGCAGCAGCGGCTGCTCGCCTTGGAGACGTCGAACTAGCCGACCGCTTTTTGTACAGCTGAAGAAGCAGCTCAGTTGCTAATCACGAGAAGGCGCTTAAAATGGGTGCTCGTTCACGCCTAGTGCTCTTGGGAAGCCGTGAAAAAGGCGAAAAAAAAAACGCGTACTTCTCGGCTGGCCACACTAGAGTTACTTCCTAGACATAATAGGGGGGTTTGCCCACGCTAGAGTTTTTTCCTAGACATAAAGGGAGTTTTGCCCTCGCTAGAGTTACCTACTAGACATTATAGGGAGGGAAGGCGGGGGGGGGCTGACGAAACTCTCTCTGACCCTCAGGCGCCCTCTCGCTGGAGTAAGTACACTCGCTCTTCGCATGCAAGCAGGCGCATGCGTTCGTGCAGTCTGATGGGAGCATCAGCAACTCGCTGCTCCTGCAGGTGCCCCTCGGTGGAGACTTTCGACGTGCGTAAACAGAGCGAAGGAGCCTCACCAATAAGAGAGCAGTACAGTCCCTGCCGTGTGTTGGAGCTGCTGCAACGGGGAGGGGAGCAATGGTATACATATTCCTACTTGTGTGCTGGACTTGCGTGTTACGCCCTGAGTTGTGTTGCCACTGTCTAGCGCTCTACAATGGTCGGCACGTAAACTTGCAGCCGAGCCACATGCAATCAATTCAGGCGTGGCTGCTTACGGAAGAGGCTTGCGTGTTTGCTCGCGTTGCCTCCTCGCGCAAGCGCGTGCATGCATGCACACACACGAGTATATCGGCTCGCGTGAATTCGGAATGCAACCGCATGCTGACCAAGTGCTCCTCTGGGCTGCATGCATGCTCTCTTGAGGCTGGCTCACTCTGGGCGCTGGATGGCTGCTTCAATAAGCGAGCGTTGCTCTTCGACGCACGCCGCATTTTTTCCCGAGACGCGTATGCCCCTGCTTCAGGTTAATGAAGCGGCGTGCCCTTTCATGTGAAGCTTAGGGTGAGATTGACGGCAGCTACTCACCCCAATGGCTATGCTCGCATGCTCTCTTCAAACCAAGTCATCATGCAGGTAACGTACGTTTGTCTCCGCATGCAGGCAGGGGACAGTGCGGGTATGCGGGCGAATACGCAAAAGATACGGCCTGTCTATACACCCCCCCGTCCCGGCGCCTACTGTCGCCATGGAGATGGGGTGGAGTGCATGCTGCATCGCTGCTATGCTGCTGGCTAAACGCGTTCCCGATAGTGTTGCTACACGCCACCCATTCTGCAGTAAGTTTTTCAGGGTAACCAATGCCACTGCGCTAAAGGTGCTGCTTTGGTGCATGGGGGGATGCTTCGCTGCAGTGCCTTTTCCCGCCTCGCCTCGGGTGGAGCGAGCCGCTCGTGCCAGCCGAGGTTGGCGCGGTTTCGCTGCTGCTGCTGCTCGCTATTCTCTCTTGTAGCTACTGACAGAAAAGTCAAGACGCAGAGGGGGCTGCCGCAGTGGACTGCGGGTGCATCGCCCCTCATTCTGCGACATTCGTTACTGTGCAGCACGCGGTGTCTACACGACGCAGCGGCGGATGTGCTTTGGAGTGATTCCTCTCGGGCAAGCGCTCTAGGGTGCGTTGTTCATGTCATGTGGAGAGAGAGAAAGGAAGTGCAGAGCAACAAAGCCCACTCTAGCCGGTCGACTGCCCTAACACTAAAAACAGCGTCGCTGCTGTCAGGGAAGTGCTTGCGTGTTCGCTCGCGTGGGTGTGCAAGCACCCGAGCGGCGTCAGCTCTTGGCAACGCATTTAGGCGCAGAATACTCCGCAAAATGAGTTTAGAATTCGTAGAGAGCAACTGGAATATCCAAATGCGCCGTCGCCAGCTGCCGCTGGGGGATGGAAAAGGGGGGGGCCCCTGCGGCAGGCAGGAGGGGCCCCCCACCCGCCTTGGTCGGCGTTTTTGCGCGATTTGGGGGTTCCACCCTCTAATGTCGCGCTTTGTAGGACGTTGCCTGCAGGAAAAATCGACAGAAGATGTTTCTTGACGCGGCAACCAGCAGAGAGAGAGCAGCGACTAGCTGCTGCTGGTGCTGCAGGGTATGCGAATTTCGTTGTTGGTGACCGCTGCAGCACTGTCGCTCTCCATTTCCGCCGCTTCCGTTCATTGTTTATTGCGCATGAGCAAAAATCTGAAGGGCAGGCCCTCTTAGGGAGCGAGTGCGAATTTTTCGTTCATGCTAACCCACTCGACAAAACAGGCTGCCCCTTCCCTGCTTTCCCCACCCTGCCTTCCCTCTTCTCCTTGGTTCTAGCGGCGCAGCAGGAGGCAAGGCGTGAAGAGCAAAGCTGCAGACACCCCGAGGATGGAGGGTTCAACGACTGCTGACAGGTTTGTCAGCGGCTTCCCTCCGCCTCCTTACTACTGGGTCGATTGCATGCATTCTGCATGCATGCGCAAACAGGAAGACTCTTCCCAGCAAGAGCTTCCCGCTCACGGCCGAACTCCTCCCCCGCCTGCCTGTTGCTCTCAGCTGCCAGCCCGCTGGCTGCACGGCTCTGAGGCGCAGCACAACCAGCCTCAGGAGGAAGAATCCATGCTACAACACCATCAGGGAGAGTTTTGTCGCCCCCCCCCGCATTTACCCGACGATTACTGGTCCGCCTTCGGAGTCTGTTACTCGCTTTCGCCGTCAGAGGTGACCCTGGAGGCTGACAGCTGTCTATACACCCCAGGCGCCCCCCCGAAATCCGAGTTCAGGCGCCTGTTTCCCCTATATGTGGAAGCGTGCATGCACTACTTGAACGAGCTAGCCATAGGAACAGAGGGGTATTCGAATGCGCTTCGCAAAGTCACGCGTCTGCATCGAAACCTCCTCTACTTGCTCTTGCTGCTGCGAAATCAGCAGGCGCAACAGCAGGTGGTGCAGCGGCTGCAGCAGCAACTGCAGAAACGGAGGCAGGCAGCTGATGCGCTAAAGAGGGCACTCGCTTTGTCTCTCCAAGACATGCAACACGCACTGCACCTGGCCAGCAGCGCGGAGGAGACGGCTGCATCGCAAGGCACCGCGAAAAAGGGGCCCCTCTAGGGGGCCCCCCACGGCAGCAACCCCAGGAGGAGCTCAAGAAGCCGGAGGGGGGCTTGTGAGCGGATACTGGCACCAAAGCCACGTGCAGTGCGTGACTCGAATTGCAACGCCGTAAAAGAAGGCGTTCATGTGCAGAAAAGAGGTTGAGCAGTGCGCGCTCGCGTTTGTTAGCAAGAGGGTGTTGGTTCAGGGGTCTTTTTGCCTTAATTACCCCTTCTTAGGGGCCTCCTTTCCTTCCCTCCTTCTAGGGAGCGGGTGGGGAGAGGGGGAGAGAGAGACGGAAGGAGTTCTCTGGCGCGTAGCTCGCGAATGGCTGGCTGCGCAGCACCTCTAGACTTCTCGTGTACTTGAAGTTGCGTGTAGCTAGACTTAGGATCCGGAGAAACAATACTCCCCTGCGATCGCTCTAACTGCACAGGACGCAGTGCGCTCACTCCTGAGTGCTGCCGTTTCTGCTAGCCAGCCAGACAGCCTAATAACCAGCCAGCAGTCTGCCCCACTCAGCTCTCTACACGGCCTGCTTCGTTCTACATGATTTTGCATTTCTTCTTCTGCAGCGTAGCAGGCACATGTGCATACATATATGCACACACACACAGACAGTGTATATTTCGACTGCTTGCCCCCAGTAAACTAGGTGCTTGTCGGTTGGCAGCCAGCCATTTCTTGAGACCTACGGATTTCTTCGGGTGGAGAGACAAGATTCCACTCGCCCGCTGCTGCTGCTGCTGCTGTTGTTGCTGCTGTTGCTCTTCACGTTGCGACTGTTGGCGTCGTGTCAGCTTCTGCTGTCGCCATCTCCC